AAGCTTCTAACACCAAAAAAGTCCTTCAGAGATACAGCGGAGATTTGCAACGAAGGGAAACTCAGAAACTCTCCAAACCCAAGAGAGTAGTGACATATCACACCACAGGCCAAGGCTTACCAGAGGTATATGACCGCTAATGTATAGTGGCCAAAGCACACTTTAAATGGTAACGGCCTTTTGCCACCTTACGGCGTCCCTCCATTTCTACCAACAGCCTTGTGACCTCTAATCAATAGCCATATAATCTTCCACTTGTCAAAGAGACATCCACTCATAGGAACATCATAGGCATGCACCAGACATCATATATGAGGAGAAAAAAAGGAATACCCTCCACAGTGAAGATTCATATAAAACTAAAAGATTTATTAGACCAATGCGCTTACAGCTCATATGGAAGAAAAATATATTTTAAAAATATTCTTCCCAAATATATTGCCATATATTTGAAATACTACAATATTGACCATATTCAATGTATTTAAAAATATATTTAAATATATATATATTTATATGTTGAAATGTGTTTTTATTACAAAATATATGAAAAATATTTTTAAAAATACATTTCAAATATACTGTATGTCTTTAAAAATACAAATCTACATTTTTGGAATACATTTACGAATATATGTAAAAATATATGTTAAAATGACTTTTTTATATGTTAAAAAAAATCTGAAGAATATATTTTAAAAAAAACATATATTTTTAAAATATATTTTTTAAAATATATTCTTCAGATTTTTTTTAACATATAAAAAAGTCATTTTAACATATATTTGTAAATGCATTCCAAAAATGTAGATTTGTATTTTTAAAGACATACAGTATATTTGAAATGTATTTTTTAAAATATTTTTTTATATATTTTGTAATAAAAATGCATTTCAACATGCAGTATAAATATATGTTTAAATATATTGAATATGGCCAAAATTGTAGTATTTCAAATATATGGCAATATATTTGGGAAGAATATTTTTAAAATATATTTCAAATATATTTTTCTTCCATGTGGGAGATTCCAGCATGTAGTGCCATGCGCATGCATGGTGCATCATATGTCCCAGCTTCGCCCAACCGGTAACCTTAAACAGAAACTTTATTTATAGAAAAGACATAAAGTTCACTATAGATGCAGCTACAAACTTATAAACACTGCCATCTACTGGTTGAAGAATATATCTTTACTGAATACTGATGCAGTTGTTGCACAAAATACATGAACACTGTATTCCAACAACACTAATAAAATTATTTTAGTTCAGCCTGCAGGCTCAATGAAAGAACAGATTCCTCCATCCACGCTAACAGCGCAGATGAACAAATCTTCCCTCCTGGGCTATTGTATTCTGACAGCTGTGAGTGTCAGCTGTCAGATCAGTGCCTGCAGCTGACTGGCTGCAGGCACAGTTAAGCCAACAATTTTTGACCTGGCTCCTTCAACAAAAGCAGATTAAGTAATCAACTTTTAATGATCTGGCAGGCCACTCACTGTTCCTTGCAATCAGTCCACATTTCAACATGCATGGCCAGCTTTAAGGGGAAGCTGGATACATGTTGCTTTGTGAGATGACAGTGACTTATGGTGGCTGGCAGGAAAGTTTTTGTTTCAGAAGTTTGTTGTACATACCTTATCCAGCATTGTCAGCATACAGGAAGCACCCAGACACCGACATGCCAGGTTCTTCCTCAGGTGCCTGAAATTCCTATGTACTCTAATGTATAGTTACATAGGTACATAGTTAGTCTGGCTGAAAAAAGACAAAAGTCCATCCAGTTCAACCATAGAAAAAAAAAAGTTATAATCCTACGCCCACAGCTGATCCAGAGGAAGGCAAAAAAACCCAACAAAGCATGATCCAATTTGCTCCTGCAGGGAAGAAAACTCCTTTCTGATCCCCCGAGAGGCAATCGGATATTCCCTGGATCAACTTTACCTATAAATGTTAGTATCCAGTTATATTCTGTGTATCCAAGAAAGAATCCAGGCCTTTTTTAAAGCAACCCACTGAGCTGGCCAGAACCAACTCTCGAGGGAGTCTTTCACATTTTCACAGCTCTTACTGTGAAGAAACATTTTCCGTGTTTGGAGATTAAATTTCTTTTCTATACACTTACATATACTGTACACTTACTTCTTGTGTCATTTGGGTAAAGAGTCTGACCATGCGCATCATCTCCTAGGTCTTACTATTGGCCCACTACTATGTATTACTGACATCATTGGCAATTGGCCAGTAGCGTGTTGGAAGATGGAAAGGAAGACCAAGCACACAACCCAAGGAGTGAGTGTATTTCAGAGCAACTAGCCATTCTGGGCACAAAACGTGCTTCTAAGAAGCTTACAAAAGCTGGCGGTGTGCTAGCAATATTGGATTAGTGGAGGAGAGAACAATAAAATATAATAGAGGAATAATAATGCTAATAGAAAAAAATGGCTTTTTTTCCGTTAGTAAGTCTCTGGCAATTTATTTTGCTTAGGCTTGGCAAATAACCAAGCAGTCCACAAAAAAGTGAGTAATAATACTAATAATACCAAATAGGTTTTTTCTGTTTTTCACTGCTGGAGGATTATTTTCTACGGTAGGTTGAGAATTACAGAGGGACAATGCTCTCCTATTTCCTTTTTCTGATAGCTCTCTGTTAGAACCAGTTCACTGTGGAAGAAAAAAACATCACAACAAAGGAAGGATCCTTGTATAAGGCATTGGTATGACGGTGCAAACAGCAGACTAATGCCCCGTACACACGTTAAGAAAATCGTACGAAAAATTTTGCGGAACCACTGATCGAGCGATTTTCTCTTCGTTAATGAGTAGGATGTTTTAGCTGATAACGATATTGTGAACATAAAAATCTGGTTAAACAGCAGTGAAAAACAGAAGATGACTCGGATGTTTATGTCCAAGGAATCTTCGTAAACACGAACAAAAAATCCAAATGTTAAAAGTAGATTGGCCGAATGAGATAGAGAAACCAGAATTGTGCAGATTATATTTTATATATCACTATTTATGTATATAGGTCATGTAATAAACTATATTATACTCATTGCTGGTAATTGTGTATATCGCTCGTTCTGGGCGGAAGGGTGTGGCTACAATGTCACAAGCACACCGCATCACTTCCACTTGTACGGAAGATGTCAACACTACGTATTGCCCAACGAACCATTTTTTTAGATTGGTTAATGTGGGCCACGATTTCGACCAACAAACAAACGCCTCTCGGTCGTCGATTTTCTAATCGTGAATTCTCACCTTTACTCCACAAGAAATGCCCGTAGCGGAAAAGAAAAAAATAAAATGAGCGCAGGGCAGGCATGACTAGGCCTAGAGTGGGAAGGAGAATAGAAAGGGTTAAGTATGGTGCCAGGGGGTTTGAAAAGTATAGCTGGGGTGCTGGTTGGTAGAGGGAGAGCGTGGGTGGGCTCTGCTGCACTTTAGGGTGGGGTGTCCTGGTGGGGGGGGGGGGGGGCGTGAGTCGGAGCTGGACGTTGGTGAGAGAGCTTACCTCCTGCCCTCCCTATTTAGTGAGTATTGTGTTCCTCTCGGGGGGGAAAGGGGGGTTATTTCGGTCATGGGCGTTTGCATAAAAGTCCACCCAAAATCCGTACCGGATGCTTTGAGTCCAGTATGAAGTTTACTGGGGTACCTCATGCAGACAAACTAAATGTGCTGCCCCCTCGGAAATCCATACAATAGAAATAAGATAGACATTTTCTCAAATCAGACGCTAAAAGGATGTGACTACATGTTAGCACTAAAATTTTTTAGAGCACCCTCTGAACACTGCTATACACCCTATCAAACTATGCATAAAAACAGGGATTTTTAGTTCACATACATTGCCATACATGTTTAAGATGACCAAATGCATCACAGTAATCCCTTTCTGCCCAGTCCTTAATCTGTTCTGCACAATTCAAAAATACTTACAGTGTACTTCACTGGATATAGTGTAGGAGAGCTACAGGTTTAGATCTGGTCACAGAGCTGCACCATACAATAGACACCAATATATGCCCTTTCTAGTAACTTCTGAATACAAACAGGGATTTTTAGTTTGCATGCATTGCAATACATATTTAAGCTGGCCTACTGCATCAAAGTAATCCCTTTCTGGCCAGGTCCTACACTACTTTACATTACTCTACACTACAATACTCTGCTCTACTCTTTACTACTCTACTTTACACTTCTCTACTGCATATAACTCTACACTATACTGCAAATACTCTATTCTGTTCTACTCTTCTCTACTTTATTCCACACTTCTCTACTCTACACAACTGTACCACACTACTCTACAGTATACTACACTACTCTACGTTTCACTACTATGCTCTGTTCTACACTACGTTACTCTGCACAGCCAGGCAGCCAGTAAATTGTTGATGTAATCACTAACATGTATAAAATTGTTGCTGGCTTGTCCCTAGAAGCAGTGCTGTGTTGACATAGGATTTTTAGGGACTATTCAGATGTTGCTTAGAGTTTTTGTGGGTGCTGGCATGTTCCCAGAGGTTGCCAAGATGTTATGGATACTGAGATTTTGCTGGTGACTGATGACTGCTGGAAGATGTTAAGGATGCTGAAATTTTGCTGGCGATGGTTGGAGACTGCTGGCAGATGTTAACAATGCAGAGATTTTGCTGGTGACTGATGGAGACTGCTGGAAGATGTTAAAGATGCTAAAATGTTGTTGCTGACTGCTGGCAGATGTTAAGGATACTGACATTTTTTCTGGTGACTGATGGAAACTGCTGACATTTTGGTATTGGTCCTCAAGGTGGTTTAGAGTTGGTGGAGAATCATAGAGGTATATGTTAATGGAAGATTAAAATGCTATTCTGGGTGGCAATTGCTGGAGATGACATTTACCACAATCTGCTGCAAATAAAAATGATTGGCTCGGTGATCTTACGTAGGCTACATACCGTATTTTTCGCTCCATAAGACGCACCTGACCATAAGACGCACCTAGGTTTTAGAGGCAGAAAACAGGAAAAAAAAAAATTCTGAACTAATGGACTGCAGACACAGTGCAGGGGATGACCAGAGACTGCGGACACAGTGCAGGGGATGACCAGAGACTGCGGACACAGTGCAGGGGATGACCAGAGACTGCGGACACAGTGCAGGGGATGACCAGAGACTGCGGACACAGTGCAGGGGATGACCAGAGACTGCGGACACAGTGCAGGGGATGACCAGAGACTGCGGACACAGTGCAGGGGATGACCAGAGACTGCGGACACAGTGCAGGGGATGACCAGAGACTGCGGACACAGTGCAGGGGATGACCAGAGACTGCGGACACAGTGCAGGGATGACCAGAGACTGCGGACACAGTGCAGGGGATGACCAGAGACTGCGGACACAGTGCAGGGGATGACCAGAGACTGCGGACACAGTGCAGGGATGATGACCAGAGACTGCGGACACAGTGCAGGGATGACCAGAGACTGCGGACAGCACAGGGATGACTGCGGACAGCAGCACAGGGATGACTGCGGACAGCACAGGGATGACTGCGGACAGCACAGGGATGACCAGCGGACAGCACAGGGATGACTGCGGACAGCACAGGGATGACTGCGGACAGCACAGGGATGACTGCGGACAGCACAGGGATGACTGCGGACAGCACAGGGGATGATGACTGCGGACAGCACAGGGATGACTGCGGACAGCACAGGGATGACTGCGGACAGCACAGGGATGACTGCGGACAGCACAGGGATGACTGCGGACAGCACAGGGATGACTGCGGACAGCACAGGGATGACTGCGACAGCACAGGGATGACTGCTGACAGCACAGGGATGACTGCTGACAGCACAGGGATGACTGCTGACAGCACAGGGATGACTGCTGACAGCACAGGGATGACTGCTGACCTTTGGGGGGGGGGGGGGGAGCGGGTACCTGAATTTGACAGATACCCGCTCCCACTTCCGCGGAGTTGTTCTTTCATCTTACCCGTTCCTCTATCCAGCCGCACGCTGTCTTCCCGGCTTCTGTAATGGCGCTCGGCATGACAGCCGGGTGCCCAGTGCGCATGAGCGAGAAGCACTTGCGCTTTGTGATTGGTCCGGCGGCTTCTGGGATCTGTCATGTGTCCCAGGTGCCGCCTTACCATTCACAAAAAGCACCGCTTCCTGCGCATGCGCACTTGGCACCCGGCTGTCATGCCCACACTACAGAAGCCGGGAAGACCGCGCCGCTGGATAGAGGAACGGGTAAGATGAAAGAACAACTCCACGGAAGTGGGAGCGGGTATCTGTCAAATTCAGGTACCCGCTCCCCCCCCTCCCCAAAGGTCAGCAGTCATCTCTATAAGGTCCCGCTGTAGAGCTGAGGTCGGCCGGCCGGTATTCTGACACGGCGGCAGTGGAAATACCGGACCGGCCGCTCCATATTCGCTCCATAAGACGCACTGACATTTTCCCCCCCTTTTTTGGGGGGAAAAAAGTGCGTCTTATGGTGCGAAAAATACTGTACTTACCTGTCTTCATTCTTAAAGTCTTACCCAAGATGTTCTTCACAAACTCTTTTCCAAATCTTGTGGGATTGTCCTTCCATGACATTGAAAACCATAAACGTGTTCAGTATAATGCAGTCTGTAGAAATGATTGTAACATCAGTTGGCCACAGAAACATTCTGGATGATAAATTTCAAGTTACACACATGGAAATTTGAAAACACTACTGCCATTCACTTGGGACAAAACACAGCACCTTTATTTTACTACATTGACCCCTAACCTATATACTTATATCTGTCTTAGGGTGCTTCATAAATATCATTCTCCTTTTGCTTTACCAAAGGAATGGTTTTTGATGGTTATATAGTGGAGCATATCTATTCATTAAATTGGAAATATCAAAAGAAACCTCATATATTTGATGAGGGTCTGTTAACTGCTTCCCCGCTGCCCTAAATCAAAAAACTACTACTGCTGCAGGGCTGCGCAAAATCACGTATATATACACGTGATTTTGAATTTCCGGGTAGGGGGCATGCACGTGCGCCACACCCTACCCGCGCCGTCATTGGCAGCTGCAGTTGTCGATCACCGGGTCCTGGACGGAGATTCCCCACCAGCACCTGGCGATCACCAAGAAACACTGACAGGTGAGAGGTCTGTATGTAAACAACACAGGTCTCACCCGTCAGTACAAACATGCTGCTTTGTATTGCTCTGCATAGCAGAGCAATACACAAAGCAGCATGCTTCCCTAGTAAAACACACAGCACGCATAGTAAAACAGCACATAGTTAACCCTTTGATTGACCCAGAAGTGCCCGGCAGGCAAGTGGTTAAACTGGATGACAGCGAAGGAACAAAGCAACTGCATCCTCAGTAAGTCAATGTTATTTCTATGCCTCAGAATCATAACCCAGAGACCTGCAGTCATTAACATGATGAAGTGTGAATGGATCCTAATGTGAATGAGAGGCTCAGGCAGATGTCTGCAATGGTATTCTAGACTGGCTATATGGGATGTTGGGCTCTTCTTCTCTGAGCCCCTGTACAGCATCCTTTCCGTCTCCATGTTAACAGCACAAGTCAAAACCAGAAAAGCGCAGCTACCCCGGAAGTGGTGTCCCTGAAGCTCACACATGTGTAGCGACTAGTGTACGTTTTCGTTAACCCAAGAGGGTCTGACTGCAGACTGGCGCTCCACTTTCAACAGGAAACACCTGACCTCCAGTCCACTTTTTTTTTTTTTTTAAAAGAACTTTAATGTAACAAACAACCAATGGCTGCAGACTGGAGCTCCACTCAACATGACCTCCATTCCAACATTTTTAAATAACGTAAAAAACAAGAAGCCACGTTTCCTGTGAAGTGAAGCTCCAGTCTGCAGCAGGGCCGGATGTAGCTGGTCTGATGTGGGGGTGCAGTAAAAATGTTAGCAGGGCAGAAGATAGGGTCAGCAGTTTACTGTACAGGGTCAGCAGGGAAGAGGACGGGGCAGAAGGGCAAAGGATGGAAATTCAGCAGAAGAGTGTATAGGAATCAGTGGGGCAAAGTACAGGGGCCCATAGGGCAGAGGACAGTGTTCAAAAGAGCAGTGTACAGGGTTCAGAGTCGCAAACGGGGGTCACTGGTGACAGGGCAGAGCCAGAGTATATGCCACAGATCTCCTCCCTCCCTACAAAGCAGATAGCTGAAATTGGATTCCCTTACACAGCACTTTCTGCACAGTGTACAGCTGGCTACTGCGCTAGTGATCCGACCTAGGAGTTTCACAGGTCAGAACTGCAACATACTGTGATATAGGAGACATTCAGAGGCTGCGGACATGGTACAAGAGATGGTCAGGGACTATGGACATGTTACAGTATAGGAGACATTCAGAGGCTGCGGACACGATGCGGAGACCGCCAGGGGCTGCGGACGAACGCGGGAGAGACCGCCAGGGGCTGCGCGACGCGGGAGACCGCCAGGGGCTGCGGACGCGGGAGACCGCCAGGGGCTGCGGACGCGGGAGACCGCCAGGGGATGCGGACATGCTACAGACTGCAAGCATGCTGCAAGTGTTTCCTAGCAGTGACCGGTGTTCTCCCAGTGTTGGAAAAACACCAGTCAGCGCATATGTGGACAGTTTTACAAAATATAAGAAAGTGGCCGAAATCCGCAGCAGTTGAAAATTTCTATCTTCCGGTCAATTGCTCAAAGCACAGTTAGGAGGGCAGTAAATGGTTAACACCTATGTGACGCTGCCAGCCTGACCAGTCTAAATCGTGCAAAGGCAACATAAAGGAAAGCATGAAATAAATCATGGAGGGCTCACACAGGACTCTGATCATAAAACAGCTGAAAGTCATCAGTAGAGATGTGTGTGACCCCCTCACATGGAATGCCAGCTGCAGCGTCTTCACAAGTCTCCTGATCGGTAGTCCCCTCCGGTGTGCAGTGCTAGTGTACACACAGAAACAAGGAACCCAGCGGGACAAGAGCCCTGGGGAGATGTTCCCTAATCAGTGATCATTACCTGAGCTGCACACTGCAGGCTGGAAGGGGGACACACTGATCAGCGGCCTTCTTGAAGATGCTGCAGGTAACATGTCAGTGTGTTGATGATGATTGTCAGCTGTCTGTACAGAGCTCCTTGTGTACACTGCTGTGATCCGTTTACTGCTTCTAGGGATCCTGCACTTCCTGTTTACTCTCCCTCCAGCCACACTTTGGAGGCCAGCGTCTTTAGAGTCAAATATGGCGGGCTGGGAAAGGGGCGGGTTACAGTGCTGTGCTGACTGAAAAGGAGGAGGAACAAACTCATTAGCAGACCCTCCCTCCTACTCAGATCAGCGACACTATTGGGGACACACTGATCATCTACAATTACAATGATTTTACAGATAGTCAGCACAAACGGGCAAGCAAGGGTAAGGGGCGTGACCTAATACACTCGGCAGGGGCGTGGCTTTACGTGTGAAAAGGGGCGTGGCATGGGTTGCTAATGACGTCACGTCCCTAGCAACCAATCAGTGTCTTTCAGCGATCTGCGTCGCTTTCACTCAGTGGAATGCTGACATTGCTGGGATCAACACGTATGTGGCGCAGTGGAGTGTCGTACAGACAGACAGACCAATGGACTACGAAGCCTGCACAGGTAGGAGGAGCCACGAACATATGAGCGGGGGTTGATCTGGTCTCTGGGTGGATGGGAGCGGATTGCGGAACGGAGGCGGAAAAAGACAGTAGAATTACTGGGAGCGCCCCTGTATGGTTCTCCCTGCAGAAGATGAGAGCTGGCGCTTCGGAGGGGGTTGTTCTGTACGCATAACTGCAAAATCGCGTCTATTCATGTGATTTTGCGCAGAGCAGCCGCCCTGTAGCAATATATCTGCCATAGTGCAGTGATTGGTTAATAAATCACCTATTCACCAAAGCTGTCAAATCGCCGATGTCCACAGACAAGCGACTGTGGGGCCTAGTACAATGTAATCAGTAGTAGATATCCCAGCACCACACTGGGCATATGGCTTTGACTTCATTCTAACTTACTGCTTTGCCACACCTACCACAACACTAAGCCCCGCCTCCACCACTGGGGTCTGTAATAATTAATTTCTTAAATGTGGCAGTTCTGTGCTATGGATGGTGATCGGCGATCGTCTACTGCTGCCGAAAACCATGACATTCGCAGATGTATCAGAGACACACTCATCGTGGGGGAACTCATCTTGCCGCTACAACGGCATTGGGACCCACATGATCTCTAACGCTGCAGGCATCGCAGAGGACCCTCTCGGGGCCTGTGGGTTCAGGCATCGCAGAGGACCCTCTCGGGGCCTGTGGGTTCAGGCATCGCACAGACCCCACACGGGGCCTGTGGGTGCAGGCATCGCACAGACCCCCTCTCGGGGCCTGTGGGTGCAGGGGCATCTCACAGACCCCTCTCGGGGCCTGTGGGTGCAGGCATCGCACACAGACCCCACACGGGGCCTGTGGGTGCAGGCATCGCACAGACCCCACACGCGGCCTGTGGGTGCAGGCATCGCACAGACCCCACACGGGGCCTGTGGGTGCCAGGCATCGCACAGACCCCACACGGGGCCTGTGGGTGCAGGCATCGCACAGACCCCACACGGGGCCTGTGGGTGCAGGCATCGCACAGACCCCACCCGGGGCCTGAGGGTGCAGGCATCGCACAGACCCCACCCGGGGCCTGAGGGTGCAGGCATCGCACAGACCCCACCCGGGCCTGAGGGTGCAGGCATCGCACAGACCCCACCGGGGCCTGAGGGTGCAGGCATCGCACAGACCCCACCCGGGGCCTGAGGGTGCAGGCATCGCACAGACCCCACCCGGGGCCTGAGGGTGCAGGCATCGCACAGACCCCACCCGGGGCCTGAGGGTGCCGGCATCGGGACCCACTCCCG